ATCCAGCGGTATCCGAGTGGTGGAGATACTAGAGGAAGGGGGGGGTGAGGTAAGGCCGCAGGGGTCTGATTGGTTAGGCCTGGAGAGGGGGTCTGTTGGTGCCATAGCAAGATGGATAATGAAGTCAATGGTAAACAGCTTGATTTTGTTGACTGGCGGAGGGCTTTTGGAGAGGAAGCAGAGCAGCGGCTGGTTTTTTCCAAGAAGGCGCCAAAGTAATCATAGTCTCCTCTCTCGCAGTGACCTGGATTCTGTCAGAGCACAGAGCTAGGATTAAGTAAGAAGGACAGTCACTGGATGGAACTTAATGGAGGCAAATGCATTGATAATACTAAAACCATGTTGCCAGATACGTTTGTTGTTTGAGTGTGGCTGTAGACTCTTTCCCAGAATAGGGCTAAATGTATTAAGAGTTGGCTGAATAAAAAAAAAAAAAAACAGCACGCATTTGCTTTGGGGTTGTGTCCATTTTAGCTCGTTTCTAAGCCAATAGAAAACAATAATTGGTAGAGAAAATAGTATTGATAAAAGAAGTGGTGGTGAAAAGCAGCTGCCAGTTCCTGTCCGTCTGCCAGTCATGTGAATAATATAGTATAAACAATCATATAAATAATAAATCTTGGGTATCCATTTTTGTGTTTTTTTTTTTCAAATCAGCACATTTAATTTCTCGCTCCGGAAAGTGTAAAGTACGTATTAATATTTCACTATTGGAAACTTGTAAGAACGACCCATGAACCGCACTTTGAACTGAGTGATGTGTTTTATTCTCTCTTCTGTCTGAAAAGGCAGTTCTAAAGCTGTAATATAGCAGCAAAAATATGATCCTGTGATGGTTTTTGAGCGTATATGACGGACAAGTTTGATAGAAAATCAGGCAATCCAGTGGTACTAGACACTAGAGATTGGATTTTTTATTTATAGAAGACGAGATTTTTGTGCATTGGAGTCTTTTGAGCTGATTGCAAATGTTCTCGTATTGAAAAAAAAATGTCAAATGTACGAACCTGTTTAAATGTATAGGCCACAAACATAACATACAACCCCCCCATTAAAAATATACTAAACTATAGAAGTCTTAAAATTATTTGCATAGACAGTCTGAGTCTCTCTAATTAGTCCCCACTCGTGCTTGTTGAGAAAGCTCAGCGGGCCAATAGCGACAGTCACTACATCACAGAATTCCATGTATAAGTTGTGTAAGATAAAAATAAAAATAAAAATAAAAGTGTTACGTAGAATTTCTGCCACATTCTTGGAAACAACGTTGATATTTAATGCTGAAGTGGCTGCCAAACAGTAGGAGTTGCAGCTGTCCAAAATCTGCCACGGATTATTTATTCATATGTTTACTTATTACCATAAATATCCAACAGGGCGCGCGGCTCAGGGGGATTACAGTGGGCTTAATCTATCCTGGCACAGAAATGAGCAGGGGTCAAAGCAGCTGAGGTGACTTAATCTGGATCGCCTTGATGGAACATGCCACACAAACAGCAAAACAAACAGGCTCCATCATATACAGCGCACGGCAGCCGTCAGTCATAGTGTCATGATCCGCCCAACCATGGACTAATGCGTTCTGATTGGGGGATGACACCAGAAAATCCAAGCCACTGTCAAAATATCCGTGCAGAGTCAAGGGTGATCATCTTTTTGTTTTGGTGTTTGTGTGGTGACAATGGCTTATTATGTTGCTATAGAAAATCATTCCTCGGATTAAAGAAAATGACTATAGTTACAAACATACCATAGGACTCAATCTGGATTATAGTGTAATTATACTGGCCATAAAGAGTAGAAAACATACAAACGGTAAGTAAATAACTATATTTAGAGGCATCAAATGCAGTATTCACGACTAGCAGTCTAATAAAGTCATTACAATTACAAAAATAGCCAATACCAGCTAAATTCTACCAAACAAACAGTCAACCCAAAGCCTCATTCTGCTCTGACTGGATAATCATGAAAATAACAAGGTAAAAATGTCCTTTGTATTCTTAATCAAGAATAACTCCACTTGAGTGTTGTTCAGAAAAGGTCCAATATGATTTGTACATGTTGACCTTTTATCAGACGATGTAGACGTACTTTCCCTTTAATTGATAACAAGAAATTCCTTTTTTGAGCAAGCCATTGCTGCAGCTGCATTTTGCGTATTATGGGTTTTAGATGATTCATGTAATTATCCCGCAGTTACCATAGTTCTAACCGCTTGCGTGTCTTGGTAACACAAAGCTACTCAAAATAATGAGGCGTAAAATCCACTTTTTGAGTTGCAACAAAGTAGGCTATATTGTTTTCTCGTTATAGCTCAGAGTTGCCTTCATAAAGTGTAAACATCTCAACATGACATTGGAAAGACATTTAATTATACTTGAGTTAAGAAATATGAATCAAAGCTTTCAGCCCATGAAAGCGGATTTAAAAATGTCTGACAGCAGTTAATAGACAGCACTAAATGAAATCGGGATGTAGGGGTACTAAGACATGCTTTCCAGGACTAAGAAACAGCTTAGTCTGGCTGGGTGGTGATTCCAAGAGTTCTGACTCTATATATGTGCGAGGCGGTGAGGATAATGAGGAGGAACGGGGGAGGAAAGAGCACATGATTTTAAGATGATTTGGAGTGGATTCTGGTGCAGCAGCACTGCCTCTAGTGTCCATTCTGAATACAGCTTAACAAAAGAGAGGAGAGAGGAAAGTTCTTTGCAAATGAATTTTACAAGGAGCTTTTGAGTGGAACAACATTAAAAAAGGATGGCCTGGCACAGGAGGGGACCATGTTGATTGAATTTTGCATTGACAATGTGTTATTTTTCAACAGCATTTTTCTCTTCAGAGTCTGGCACATGGAGAACAAGTCTATTCTGCAAAACAGGTCCAGAGGGACAGCATGCTCCCTCAGTCACATCGCTCACCCCTATGCACACACACACACACACACACAGTTTTCAATCACAGCGGAGAGCAAAAGAGGAGAGGCCAAAAAGACGTGCTGAACGGAATGTTTTTCAAAGGGCGGGGGTGTGGGTGGAAATCGCAGGACCACAAGCCAAGTGACGAACGAGCGGACACTTTATAGATTAGCTGTGAGGATGCGCGGAGGAGATGGACGGGGGCCCCAGTGCGTTTGGCCCGAGGTGAGACTGTTCCTGGAGACTCTCCTGACTGAGACAGCGTCATCTGTCACTGGCACGAGCATTGACAGCCAAAGAAAAGGTGTCCTAGATGCAATGACAGCACATTTGGGTCCAGAGAGAGGCTGCTGAGGTGATTCAACTCTTCTCTGGCTTAAAAAGATTTTCCATAAAAGTGACCCCTCTGGCATTTTTCTTATCACTTCATTGAAAGGCTAAAAATGGTTGATGTGACTGTGACAGCAAAGCCTAAAACCTTCATTACATACACATAAAAATAACACTCATTTGTTTTCCATTTGACAGAATCGGGAATAGGGAAATTACTGAATATATGTTTGGTCCTGGTTGAGTCAGACTGATGCACTTACGTTTTATGGTCTATTATATTGTCAAATTGAGACATTATAACTATGGATTGTATATGTCACTTCAGTAAAAATGAGTTATGCTTGTTTTTCTATTAATACAGCTTTATTTTCTCTCTGTCTGTGTGCCTAAGCCGGCGTGTGATGGCCGGCGCTTCCTCTGTCCCACCTTCATAAAAACAAGATTGTTTTCTGGAGTTTCTGCTGACATCGCCTCGGCATATAAACATAGCAGTAATTTGTACAACAACATTGAGATACAGTTGAGCACTTTTGTGTTATCATTTGTTTACCTGGGTAGGCAGACACTTTTTGACTTTAAGCACGGAAGCTGAAAAATACAGCATTGAGTCATTTTCAACCTCAGACTTTAAAAAACGTGGTTTAAAGGTGAACTTAGCTGGGAACATATATCTTGAAATTACACCACAAGGGAATACTTAACCATCTCTGCTGTTATGTCCATTTTTCTGACAGTGAGTGAATACCTAATCCTCTATATATTGTTTGATTAAAACATCATAATTTACTTTTTTTCAACAGAAATGGTTTTAACAGTTTGTCAATTTCTTATTATGTGATATTGACAGTTAAATTCAAGCCAACATTGACAAAAAAGATTAATATTTGCATTTGAGATCTCTTGATCAGCCTCTCTCATAGCAGTTCAGAATGATATATCATTAATAAACTCACTGAGTAATATATCCATAACATTGATGTTCTTATTCAAAAGCATCCTCCCATTTAAATCAAGCCAACATCAAACTGAAGCTGGATGTCATCACTTAGATCAGCTTCTCTCTGACCACGGTCCAGTGTGACAGGGTTGGACTTAGTAACCCCAGCATGTCTGTGACCCCTGATCCCAGGAAACATAAAGCAGGACACTTATTGTGCGCTTGCAAATGAACCGGCCACTGACACACATTCTTGTCTGAATGAACTCTCTGTGTGTACCACCAGCAAAACAGAGCAACTCAAAATCTGAAGATTTTCTGTTCTCAACTCTCTTATTATTTTACACAGACAACCACCTGGTGGCAACCCAGGGACACAGCTGATTTATCCTTTTTCTCCCCAGAAATGTCTTTAAACACAACATGCCCACGCAAGGTTGAATGGTAGCATTATTAACTTCCCTGGATGCTGCAGTCGGAGTCAGCTAGAGAGCGGCTGTTAGTTCAAAACAATGTGACTGGACTGAACACTTGACTGACTTGGTCTGGGGTTTAAGCCGGCTTTGTTTCTGTGCCACGGAGTGTGACAGGAATATAAAAAGCATGTAAGAGTAAAGTATTTAACTTGTCTGAAAGAAGCCAAAGCATAAAAGCAGCAGTGATGCCATCTCGGAAAAAAAAAAAAAAAACTCAAGCAGGCAGTCGTTCATGCAATGTTTTCACCTTAGAATATTGACACATGACAATCTCACATATGAACAAATCTCACACAATCACAACGGCAGCTTTAGGACACTCAAAGCAAGGAGATGGAAAGCTCTCAACTTCACTGCAAAGCATTTACAAAACAGCAGACGCAACTTCACTGCATGCAAAACTTACCATGCCCGGAGATCCAGAGGAGAAGGAGCACCCAGGGGAGCATGGCTCGGCTCGGGTTGGGGGGGTGCCGTGCGTACAGTGAAGGAGGGATGTATGGGCGAAGGGGTGGAGTGGGCACAACCTCGGCAAAACAGTCGGCGAGTGTGTGCGGTGGAAGTTGGCAAGCTCGGGATGGCACACAGTTGCGTCTCTGTGCCGCTCTTGGGGAGGATGAGGATGGAGCCAACGTCTTCAAGCTGAAATGAATGGTGCCTTTTGCTTTGCTCTGCCCGTTGGAAAAGCTTCGGTCTCGGGTTGCAGGGTGATGTCAGTCAGTCTATACGGGACTTGCGCCTCTCCGCGTCCTGCCTCTTGTTGATGCGTGGACTTTGGAGTGCCGAGCGTTCGCATGCCGCCAGCCTGAGCGCGTTCTCTCTCTCTCCTCCCTCTCTCTCTCTCTCTCTCTCTCTCAGAGCGCTTCTAGCATCCATTCCCCCCCTCCCTTTCTCTCTCGCTCTACCACTCACTCAACACACACAAACGCACACACACAGACACACACACACACACACACACACACACAACACACTTCCCTCCTCCCTCCCTCCCTCCCTCCCTCCCTCTCCATCTCTCCCTGCGCTGCCTGCCATCGTCTGGGTGGCTGTGACTGACTGGGATTCTCTCTGGGAACAAACATTGAAGAAAAAAAATCCCATATAGAAAAAAAAAAGGTAATTAGAATGAGAATAGGAGGGGACTTGGCCGCGCTTTCCACAAATAACAAACACAAAACAAAACTTGGACCCCTCCTTTCGCCCCCTTGACCCCTGCCTTTGCCTTTTTGTTCGATTATGAGGAGCGCAGTGAACATTTTGGGACCCCATCCTCATTTGCATTCGAGACCAAGTCCTTAGTATTCATTAGTACCCATAAGAAGAATGTATACGTTCTAGTCAGTGATGCATTAAGAGACACACAGCTTGATGCAAAATGTCGTAAAATCCCCAAATGGACTAACGGGTTATGAGTGGTAAATATTTAAAAGGGGCATTTCCTTCTTGTATTAAGTTCCAGGGCAGAGTAAGGTCAGTGCATTATGGAGTGCACTAAAACATTTCCTTTACAGCTTCATTAGAGCAGTAGTTCAGTTATGGTCTGTGCTGTTATTGCTGTACTTGCCTTGCGAGCTGTGCCGTTTTTCAGAATCAGAATTATTTTGATTGTAAACTAGGAATTTGCTTTGGCTCATGGTGCAAACAAGTTAGAAAAGTGAAAAGATAGATATAAAAGCATGCATTAAACAAAAACTATAAACTAGTACACACTTAAGTACACACAAAAGACATGGTGAAAGGACATTCAACAACATTTATTAACATTAATGGTCATTGGTCAACCGCCTCTTATGTTATGTATTTTTTTATCCTTCCAAATTTGACAGTTTTGTAAAGTCCTCAGAGAAAACGTGCATTGAATTGAATAACAAAAATATAGATGAAAAGAATGAAGAGTATTATGTTTGTATAACAGAAGTAATGAGAATTCGTAAACCCATCAAATGTGATTGACATGCCAAGGACAAATATTTGATATGTAAGTCAGTGATGCGGGGGCTTCAGTTCATTGTTTCCAGAGATAGACAGTGCTGCATGAGAACACAGTGAACTTGATAATAATCTAATCCTTCTCTTTGACCTCGTAATCCAATCAAAAACCAGCAGATGACAGGTGGTCTTTTCATCAGAGGCCCACAGTAACTGACAACACTCTCATCCTCACAGCGCCAGGACCTCGGATTACACATTTGAATTGTGCCTAAAACAAAAACAACCTTATCAGAATGTTCTCTTCTGTTCCTCAAAAATAAAAAGGCAGAGCAGATTAAAAAACATCTCATATGATAAAATTCACTTTGATCTAAGCGCTTTAATAAAACCACAAACAATGGAACTTTGTACTAAAAATCACATAACGGCTCTAAAACATCGGTTTTCACATCTGTTGGCTTCTACAACATGTCTTATTTTGTTTATGTGGTTCTTTTGAAAGACAAGTTGGATGTATTACCGTGTTCACATGTTTCAGCTGCCACGTTATTTATTATTTATTTGTTTGGAAGATAAGCTCCTAGAGATAAAATCTCGTTTTCAAGGGGGTCCTCAAAATTGGACAAAATGACGGATACAGATTTTATTTCCAGTTGTTATAGGAACAAAAAAGTTAGGTATCCCAGCTTTAAAATGTATTAAATGATGTGTATTTTTTATAGCCCTAACTCACAACAGTTGTTATCTCAGAGGACTTCACAAAACCGTCGATTCCCCAACACAGATCAGAGAATCAAACAGTTCAAACACAAGAAATGCAATGATTAAAGTGGACATATCGTGTTTTCAAATAATTGATTTTTACATCTAAATCATTAATTTGTGGCCTATATAAAGCGTAACTGCAATGCCTGGGTCTGAGTCTCATTATTTGTAGCTACACGGGCCTTTCTTCTACACCTGTTCTGAGGTGCGTCTGAGAGCAACCTGTTTTGGTGCTGTCTCTTTAAATGCAAATGAGGCGCTTTTGACCACCCCCCCCCATCCAGGTGACACAGGTTCAACTCCACCCCGAGCGGCCATTTTTGTAGTTTCTAAGCACAGATACAATTATCTCATAGAAACTTCTCATTACATCGCAAACATGAAGCAGGCCTTCCTCATTGACTGAAAGCAAATGTTAATTTTCATTCTTAGTCCAGTCTTATTATCGACTCTTCTCTTTTTAGCTTTGGGATCCATGCGCACAGTCAAGGCAAGGAAAGGCAAGTTTATTTATATAGCACAATTCATACACAAGGCAATTCAAAGTGCTGAACAAAATATGAAAGCATTAAAATCATAAATAATCACAGAACATTAAAAAGAAAGATAAAAATATAAAAACCCTCAGTTGTATGCACAGTTAAACAGAACTGTTTTTAACCTGGTTTTAAACATTGTCAGAGAGGAGGCCTGTCTCACATCTTCAGGAAGACTGTTCCAGATTTTAGCAGCATGAATCTGAAAAGCAGCCTCCCCATGTTTAGTTCTGACTCTGGGCACTAACAGGAGTCCAGTCCCTGTGCTCCTCAGAGTCCCAGCAGGAGTCCAGTCCCTGTGCTCCTCAGAGTCCGGGCTGGTTCGTATGGTACTAACATGTCACTAATATATTTTGGAGCGAGGCCATGGAGAGACTTGTACACAAGCAGAGCTCACACGCCGGTTTGTTTACAACAGCGGCCGCCTGGCGCTGGCCTACGTCGCAGGATAAGACGCACTACACTGACAGAAATGTTTAAATTGAATATTACTTATGCACAATTTTACAGCATTTAAAAACGTTAAGAACATTTTTCCTTCTACAGAAGGAAAAAGACGCATGCACCTCCGGAGCCGCAGGTTGCCGACTCCTAGTTTATACAGTATGTGGAAGCAAATACTGTAGAGGATCAGGATATGTGCAGTTTCAACAATAAAATAAAATGCAATAGTCTACATTACAAGAGAGTAATGAACATGTCTCAGAGTGAGGGAGGTGGACACAGACAACACTATTGTTTGTTACAGGGATGAGAATTGGTCAAAAAAGACTGAAATGCATATTTTCAGCCATTTGCTGGCTCTAAATCTGTTTAATTTGTTCACAACATATTACTTTTGGGCTCAAACATGAGTTTTTAATGCAATGCAAAATGTAGGTATCAGAGCTTTATTTAGGGTGTTTAATCGCGCTTCGAGAGGATAGGGGAGACGCGGACTGCAGCAGTGTATTTATTGGGTGCACAGATTACTCAAAGACACGCATGGTCCTGTGCGCGTTTATGGGGTTGGGTACATGGCCACGTTGAGGCTGCGCGCTCAGCCACAACACGGTGGAGCGGCTGCGAGCGGCTGGACGCTCACAGCCTCTTGCAGCCACATTACAAAGCGGCCGCAGATGCCCCAGAACACTGCGGCCGCTGAGGTGGCGGAATCCCGTTCAAGTACATACTGCAGGTGCCCCGCGGATACGCGCGCCCCCTCGAACAATTCTCAACGGATTTACACTTCTCATAAACATGTGTTTTGTATGAGGCAGACAGACCGGCCCAAATATGGGCATCGGCCTTTGGGCATTGCCCGGTACGGCCGACGGCCAGTCCAGCCCTGTGCGCTGGCATCCTTGAGCTTGGACTACAAATTCGAAGTGATGCACAGTAGAGGAGGGCTGGGCCGAAGTGTTTTGTTAGACGCCCATGTCCTTATATAGCAGTCCCGCTGCAAATACTGTGACGTAATAATTCTAAACACGTAATAGAGAATGGCAAAATCAGAACGGGTTGAAAAATCTTACCTAAACAGAATATGAAGTGTTCTCTGCAACCCATGAAGAGACTGATTTCAACTTTTTTGCACTTCTAGAGGCTCCAACTACACAACATAGGGCATTTAAGACACAAAAAGTGGATTTTTCATGATATGTCCCCTTTAATACCACATTGAGCCAGGGGAAGATGACCAATGTCTATATACAATTGTTGATAAAGCAAATGTACCACTTATACTTCACTGAATATTTAGAAATCAATATCTTTATTTCAAAACATGTACAACACAATCCAACTGAGTAAAGTAACTCTCATTTTCGAAAAGATTCCAGGTCCGTTCCCCCTTTTAATGAACTAATACTGTACTGAACATGAATAATTTGTCCAGTCCGACTCTTCATGGAACCAAACAAAAACAATGGCATTTTCAAATCCAAATGTTTTTTTATCTCAAAACCGTCCGTTGTTTTGAGTGCGGAACAGTTGACATTTTGAATAAACTCAAAGGCGTGCAAAATACGACACTAACACTGCTATCACTGTATTTCGCCCTGAGTGCGCTTGTGCTGAAGAGACACATAAAACCCTGCAAGTGTGAAGTGCTCTCCTAAACTTATAGTGCACCCACTGGGAGCATCATGGTAAACAAATCAGACAATAGGGAAGCCGCTTCAGTTACAAGGGACGGTTGACACTAAGAGCAACAGCAACTAGTCCAAGACACTTGCTGCTTGAGACTGTGTGAGTGATGGACGATTAGCAAAGTGTTGCAACAAGAATCAAAATCACCATCGTCTTCAACATCTCTTAAGGAATGGGAGTGAGAGGAGAAATGCTCAACTGAAATAAGTAAGTAAGCAGTAAGTAAGCTTTATTTATATACCGCCTTTCACAGACCAGAGTCACAAAGCGGTTTACAATTGTTATTTTTTGAGCACTTGTCCTCTCATTCCACACAGAGATGGGAGCGGGGTTGCCGAACAGGAGGCGCATGCCAGACCTATTGTACATATTTTTAGTGGCAGGGGAAACCGGAGTACCTGGAGGAAACCTACGCAGACACGGGGAGAACATGCAAACTCCACTCAGAAAGGCCCTGGTCCGGCCGGGATTTGAACCCAGGACCTTCTTGCTGAGAGGTGGCTGTTAGGAAAATAGGTTGTTTTATCACTTGTCAAAAGGAGTTGAAAAGCTTTTAAAAGACCAAATGTGTGCCAGATGTGGACTCAATGTCGCTTTCCTTCAGATCGTCTCTCTGCTCTGACATTCTGATGGCAAAAGCAAAAACTTTCAATTTCTGAAGGGAAGTTGAAGTGCACAAACTGGGTCTCTCACAGCACAGAGAGATGAATCATTCAGAAAATCGTGTACGCACTCGAAGGTTATGATATAAAAGTAAAAAAGCTAAAAATGTGTATCTTGTTCAAATTTAATCACACAAAATATGATTTTTGACACTTTACATGAAAGTGAGGTGCACTGAGAATAAAATTTTGTTCTTCTAGTTTAAAAAAAGAAGCCTTGTTTCACACATGGTATTTTTGGTGCTTGTGACTTCCTCACTATGGTTCGGGAGGTCACAATATTCCTTGGTAAAATGGTAAAACGTCAGTTTTATATTGTGAAAAAAGTAACAAAGAATAATTTTTTGCTCATTTAAAATTGTGTCTAATTTTGTTGCTGTCCATACTGTAACTTCTTCCCAGAGTGAATGAGAGCCCATTAAAGGCACAGACCATGAATTCAGAGACAAACGAGCACCCAAATAAGTGCTGTATTTGTCTAATATTGATTTACAGACCAAATGTATTGCTGTTATATGATTATAGCATTTGTCTTGCTCCTGCGTAGTTGCTCATTGTAAATTTGTCTGCATTTTATTGTAGAACACACACACACACACACACACACACACATGATTATGACATGTAAATAAACCACAACAGAAATCTCCCTCCTCTGAACTCCGATTCTCTGACCGGAATCTTTTCAAACTGTTGTTGCCTCAAACCAGCATTTTTCTCTTGAGCCTCCACTTCACTGACACTGTGTTGTTTTCATTCATTCAGCTGTGATTTGCACTGATTGACTGATAATGAATGCATTTAATTATTGAATAATAATAAAAGGAAAGCCATTTTTTACTTTGGCCCTTGGAAGCAAAAAGTTTGGGCATGCCTACAATTAAATTAGAGCTGGGGTTTCTCAATATGAACCTGCTCCAAGTGTTGCTGGCTATGGAAATACATTTCTATAGCAGCTGACTTTTGATGATACAGGCCCAGACAAAGTAAAATAATCATATAAAAAGAGCACCTTTTAACTCACCGTAAAACCTTAATGGTCACATTTGATATCTCAGAACAGATTTCAAATTCAAAGCAAAATCAATGTCTAAAATAATAAAAATATAACATAGAGAAAAAAAATTATTAGTGCAGTCTCAGTTCTCCTTTTAACGAGTATAAAATGGATTGGTCTGGGGTCATATTGTATCTAATGATTGTCTCTTTATTTGAGCACTAATTTGACAGGCAAAAACAACACAATTAAACAATTCAAAATGAGCTCAAAAGGAATGAGTCTTTGATATTTCCATTAAAAGATCGTTTTTTTATTCTTTTTTTATTGAATACATGATTTTTTTGGGGGAAAAACCTGTTCCGTCTGAAACTTGGCTTGTGAAGTAAACACGAAATACTGCCTTACTCACTGTTCTTATTCCGTTTTCCTGAGTGTGTGTCCTTGTCCTGTATCCCCACACTTAGCGGTCTCCAATCTCAGGTTGTTTTCCAGGTGATGGACAGTGTCTGGTTTTTGAGCTAAATAGAAAGTGACGTGTGAGTTTATTTCTCGTGGGTCTGTGTCACCAAGACTTTGAGAAGTGGGTTTGCGGAGATATGTATTTCCTGCCGTGTGACTGCGTTTGTGTGTGTTACCATCAATTTGTTTTCTGAAATTAGTAAATCAGCCAGTTGTCTTTCATGGAAGGGCATTCACTCAATCTTTGTCAGTCATCCCCCAGAGACGCCACATCTCTGAGGCTGGATTCATCAGTTTCTCAGTCCAATCAGCTCGATAAATAGCCAGAGCAGGTTAGAAATGAAAAGAATTAAACACTGGAAACGTGTGGGATGGAGAATTGAGAATTTTAAACTCCACATTTTTTGCACAGACCTTTCTCTGTTAAGCATGTTCTTTCATTCAAATTGTTGATGTCAAGGGCCAATCTTTTTAATATCTAGACGGATAAAAGTTGACATTTATTATTATTTAATCATATGCATCACGTACAGTATTTCAGTTGTTCCTGTTTGTTCCTATGTTTAATTTCCCCATGTGTTTTGTGATAAGAAATAATCAATTGTCTTCTCACTGTTAATTATGACATTTGTAAAGAGCTTTGGGACTCTGAAAGGAGCTCTAGAAATAAAGATTACTGTACTTACTTACTTACTTAAAGGAGCTATATCCGTTTCTGCAAAGATTTTTTTTCAGTTTGAATGTTTAGACCGCACCCCAACTCACTCACAGGCTTCTCATTTCCCCTACGCTCTCCTCCCACAAAGCCAACTAGTTTTATTTGCGATGTGGTACAAATGCAAACATTAGCATTATAGCAACTTCTTGTAAGCTGTACAACAATCACTGATGGAATGGTACAAAACCAACGCAATGCTAACAAAATATATAACTGAAAGATTACAGCTAGTTTCGCGTCCAAATGTAGTCGAAGCGGTCCCGCACCCGCAGATCTCTCGGAGGATACAATGTATGCTAGCTCAGTGTTCTTCAACCACTGTGCCGCGGCGCACTAGTGTGCCGTATGGAATTATCTGGTGTGCCGTTAGAAACTCGCCTCCTTTGTCTAAAAGTAACTGCATCCACCATTAAGCGAGTGTTTATTTGTTTTGAACTGTGGAGTGACCACATAAGTACTTTGAAACATAAGAATTGGACGCAACCATAGGATGTAACAAGGAGCAGGTAGCATGTGGCGAGAAACGTGAGAATTTGAAGCAACCAAGTGTTAATGGGAGTGAGGGGTATTTTAGCGAGTGAGAGGTGAAAGTGATTGAGACGTTTTTTTTTTATGGAATAATGCCATTTCTGAATAGAATTCACATCCTCCGCTCTGACCCCAGGGCAGCTGTGGCCACGTTGTACTGACAGCTGCTCTGACAACAGCTCAGCAATCGCACATCCTCAGTACCGAGCGCGGACTTTCGACGCGTGGACAGAACCATGGACTCGCAGACAGAACCATGAACGCCTGGAATAGAACCTTAGACGGGCAGATAGAACCATGGACTTGTGGACAGAACTGTTGACAGAACCATGGACTCGTGGACAGCTGAGAGTGGATTTTGTTATGGTTTTTTCCCAGTTAGTGCCACTTTATTCCCAAACTCTTGTTAACTCATGGAATTGAGAAATATTACATAAAGCTTAATGTCAAGGCCTGTTTATCTATATGCACTGAGATGAGAATGAATTTATACTGTGAATATAGGCTACAGAGTAGGGGTGGGAACCTAAGGGTACCTCACGATATGATACGATACAAAGCTCACGATAACGATAATATCACGATAACGATATTACGATAACGATTTTATCACGATATTACGATTATTGATATATTGGTCAGAAATATACAATATGCCAATTTATGGCATAAATAAAAGAAAAAATACTCTTTATTTCATGATAAATAGAATGGAGATGCGTAATGTAGCCATATATTAAGTATTGATACCAATTTTTAAAAAAAATATAGTAAAAAAAATACAATAAATAATAATCTATCGATACTTGGCAAATGCATATCGATAATCGAATCGCCGGAGAAAGTATCGCGATATATCGAAAAATCGATATATCGTCACACCCCTACTACAGAGTATATATTTTTTACATTTTCTCCTGGTAGTGTGCTGCCATATTTTTTGCAATGAAAAAAGTGTGCCTTTGCTCAAAAAAGTTTGAAAAACACTGTGTTAGCTATGTTGACCCTGGCTTGATTACTTCTTTGATCTTTTTTTTCGCTTTAGTTCCGTCTTCTCTTCTTCACTGTTACGTCGTTTTGGCTGTTTTGCTGTATATGCAGTTACAGCAAGAGGAGTTATAGCCACTTCTGCTAACATGCTACTGTGTTTAGCAGCACTGTAGGCGATAGAGGAGACAGCCTGTTCGTAACAGCGCTGCTCCTCCTTCTGTGAGTGGAGGAGAGCGAGCGTCACGCTAAGTTTCTACTCAGCACTTTTTACGGTCTGAATTCATACACAAGCTGAATCAATGAGCACAAGTTTTCAATGAAATTACAAATTTTACTACAATTGGTTTGCTGCTGTCTGCAGCGACAGAGCTCAGCCTCAGGGTGGCGCAGGTGGAGCAGATCATTCAGCAGCAGCAGGACATGTCCACAAGTCAACAGCAGGAAGTCCAAACTGCTGTGGCTCAAACAGAGAGTCTGTCAGACAAGCTGCAGTCTGAGGAGCAGAGGAGGACACTGCTGGAAGAGAAGATAGAGGAGCTTTCCCTCACTCTGACCTCTTCACAGGAGACCAGCTCCACTCTGATGCAGGAGAAGAACTTTCTACAACAAACCATGGACAACATGATGGAGCAGCAGCGACAGGAGAAGCTGCTCCAGAAGAAGAACAATAAAAGAGGATGGTTCTTATGTGGCTCTCAAGGATCATCCAGCCAATAAGACCAAACTAACGCCACTGCCAAACCACAACCACAACCACCAACTTTATTAATTCAACTCATTTGGGTTTTATCCATCACATAATTAACATAAGACGGCTCTTTGGATGTTTTATCCATCATTTCCAAACATAACATGGACTTCACCCAGCCGCCGCTGGAGCTGCCGGGGGAGGCCATGTTTGTCTCTTATGATTGGACATGATTTTCTATCTGTACTGTTCTAAATAAGAAAATATGTAGATATATTTTAATAATTGGTCTCTACAGTGAATAATCATATACAATTATAATTGAGATTAAAAAGAATTGGAAAGAGACATTTCAATCTGGAGAGACATGATGAGTTTATTGATTGCAACTTTTGTTTGTATTTCGTTTGTTTGACGCACAGGCCCCCGGCTGTGGTCTTGCTCTGTGAGGATCTCTGCTTGAGGCAGATCATGATCCCCGGGGCCCAGACACTGGTGATGGCAACAGGGCAAAGTGGATGTTAACGTGCAATGAAATACTGAGGCGGAGGTTGTTGTGCGGTGTCCGGCTTTTCAGTGCTGGCTTGATTAGCGGCTGCAGGGAGTTGATGAAGCTGATGTGAGGCTGAGGAAGGCGTGGTCCTGATGAGGTGACGTAGGTAGTCCACCAATTTGAACTTTTTCTGAGGCTCCATTTTCAGAGTAACACAATACATTAACTGGTTTGTGAGTTTGAACAACATGTGATGAATCACATAATAATGCCATGAGGTCATATGACTTGAAATTAATAAAAAATATATAATTATAAAACTAACGACTATGTGTGTGTTTGTAGAGACATTTTTTTCACTGAGACACAATTGTTTTCTTTACATTGTATTTTAGTAGTATTAGTAGTAGTAGTAGTCTGTATTTTGAATTAATTGTACAATACAAAGAAGAAGAAGAAACATATATACATATTTACACAATTCAAAAAGGAGTAGGTAGAAGTGACACTTACTGTATGTAGTAAGTATGTACCTCTTGTTACACGTTTTTTTTTCAGTTCAAATGATTAACAGGTGTGTAGTGGGAGATGTCAGTTTTAATATCTGAACTTTCACTTTGAGAGTTATTTGTGCATGTGCATTATATTTGGTATTATTTCCTTAAAGACATTTAAGACTTATTTCCTTGTCAGTATCCTTCCACAAGATGCTCACAAAAGTTGACTTGAACTTCTGTATTAACTTATTCAACTAAATAGCTATTTCAGGTTTGCTTTCACACAACTTTTGAGTTGACAGTGATTTGATTGACAATAGAGCTCTGCGATGGCCAGTCCAAAAGTCAAAAGTCCAAGAGTTTGTGTCTTTTTGGAAGACCCATTTCCAGCTTTAACTAACTTTGCTTTAATATTTCCACATATTGTTCTTTCTTCACAATGCTATTTTATTATGTGCACCAGTTCCTCCTGCAACAAATCATCCACAACATCCACCCCCCATCGCCCCATCTTGGATGATCACATGATTACACTTTTACCAAATTCTGCCAACAGATTTTCATCTGCTTTTGACAGAAAACTTACTCAACTTTTTCACTCTCCCGATTTATTTATATTTGAGTTAAATAATTTTAACATTTGAATGAGTCCCTTTTAAGGAATTTAAGAGTATTATCTCCTTAATATATATTTATTTTGCCTTTCTTTTTTAGTTGAAAAGGAAAGCAGAGTGTTTTATATGTAACCTTAAAAAAACATCTACCGTTGTCCCTCCAATTAGGCTTAACTCAAAGCTGAAGAAACCTTGCAAAGCCATGGCATCATTACTTGAATATTCCCATATAGATTTTATACGTATATGTGTACAGTATACCTACTTCTGACCGTGTAAAAGCAATACAACAGAAATCAGCATATTGAGCCAACAAATTGAACAAGTCATGATTTGTTATATAAATACAAATTAAATACATCTGTATCCATATTGATTGTAGACTTTGATTGATTGATTGTACACTTCCAGTCTTGTCTATCAGATCTTGCCATTTATCATATTTGAGCTTCAATTGTTGCACCTAACCAGCCTTATAAAAGAACCATCACCTTGTATCCTGAGGTTAACCAATACCATGGAACTAAGTCCAATTACATGAGGCCTCCATGACACAAAATATAAAACACATCCTGGGAACAACCCCAAAAAATGTCCAATAATTAACATAAAACTGTGCGTGGGAACACAGAGCTCGCCCCCCACAGCCAAATGTCACGGATATTAGACTCACAGAATCAAGCACAAAACCATGTTAATATTTATTTATACAGCTGCAAAATCTGGAATATTCTAATATGAAACGTTTTAAATACTTTTTAGATATGAAAGATGAGTGAAATGTTATGGTGGCAACTTCTTCAATTACTGGTACCATAGACTTAACCCATAGAATAGTAGTGAAAAATGCTTCATGGTTCTCTTGATCGCTCACACTTAATCTGAGAGACAACCGTTCATTCTCACATTCATTGACAATAGGAATTATCATACTCTGTCTTTAGAGAGAAGAGAAGAATCTTTCAAACCATGAGCATTCAGATTGACAACACAGTTACCAAACATACACTCAAAATATGTACATACAAAACATAACATAACGCAACATAGCAGAGCCCACATACCAGGCAACAGTAAAGCAAATTACCCCATCTTGCAGATGGGATAATAAACAGTTAAAATAAAAGACAAAAAAAAAATCTGAATTGTTTGTCATTTTTTTTTATTGTTTTAGAAGGGTTTACAGTAAGGGATAAGTGTGCATTATCAAATCTTCTCAAATCTGTTCCAACATGACACAGAAGAGGCTGGTTGTTTTTTTTAGATAAGTGCTCTTCATATTCACCTGGGAAACTAAATCCAAATTGAACAGTACCACTAATGCATCCTTAAACCAGGATTTTGCAATGAAAACAGTATAAACAACTCCTTCAGGGTCCAATAAGCCAATAATTACTTCCAGCAACACCCTATATTTTAGTTTCAAACACATTTCTTGTGTTTAATATTTTTGTATTAATTATCTGTGAGGGTAGAAGTGCACCTTCTCATGCTTGGTTAATTTGCCTATGAATTTGAATCTAATTTCAATTGGCCCATGTTGTTTTGCGTGTACTGTACGTGGCATGTAAAGTAGTGTATAGATTTGTTTGCTGTTTTGTCCGCACCTTAAGAGAAGTTGCTCGAGGGTCAACAAGCTTTACATGATTTTAACCTTCGACTGGCTTCTGGATAGAGTCATGTGTGTGCAGTTTTACATCACATTGATCAACAATCAACAAGTTCCTCACATTCATCAAAATTGACCGGTTTCTCTTCACAAATAAATCAGATAAATAATATAACATACAAGACACAAACAAACACATACTCTGGTTTTGTTCTTCTCATTTAAGAAATACTTGATTGTTTCCTATCTCGCCCCAAACATATGACATGACGTGAATGTAGCTGCCCTAAGTACCACCAAAGTAAGTAAGAAAATATCTACTTATATAGCGCGTTTTGTGGATCAAGGTCATGCAAAGCATTTTTAGTGTTTCAGTAATTTCTTTTCACTCCACAGACAGTGATAACAGAAGCGAGACGCCAAACATCGAAGCATTTACATCATTTACAGCTAAGAAGCATAGCAGCCACGCACTTATTTTTTATGAGGGCCTAGGGCGACAGTAGCTCAGTTGGTAGAGCATTGGCTTTTGAGCCAGAAGGTCGTGGGTTCGAGCCTGACTTTCACCATCGACTCCCACTGTCTGCTGTCGTTGTGTCCTTGGCAAGACACTTAACCTCTGGGAACACCAGCCACAGTGGGGCGGCTTCGGCTGTGAAGTGCCAAACTGCCGTTGTGTCCTTAGGCAAGACACTTCACCCCCATTGCCCAGAATGAGTCTGGTGTGTGTGAATGGTTGGTGGTGATCGGAGGGGCCAAAGGCACATACTGGTCGATTCTGTCAGTGTGCCCCAGGGCAGCTGTGGCTACAATAGTAGTTTATCACCACAGTGTATGGAATGAAAGAATAATGACATTTAAAGTGTCTTTGAGTGTCCAAAAAAGCGCTATATAAAACTGATGCATTATTATTGTTATTACCTATTTTGTATATTTTGCTCTTGTCTGTGTGCTGCAACACTGAAAATTCCCAACTGTAGGACAAATAAATGATCTCTTATCTTATCTTCTGAACATAAGATAAGATAGACTTTATAGATCTCACAGTGGAGAAATGTACATGTCACATTTGGCATAGATAGAATCACTCAGATTGTGCAAAAAGACAGAAGTGTGTAAATAGTCATATAGTCTGTGCAGGATATATTACATACAATAACAAGTAGCAACATCACTATCCATTCACCCTCTTGTTGCATTCACACCTATTAAACATGGGGAGAACATGCAAACTCAAGGTGGAATTCATTCTATAGGACCGTCTCGCTGTGAAAGCTGACTGGGACATGGTCTGCAGGTTGAGAGGGTTTGGGGTCCTATCTTAGTGTCCATGAAACACAGAGCAGGACAGTGGGAGAACAGGACTGTCCTAACAACAGGCCAAAGTCAAACCGGACACTGACACCAAGCACAGCAGGGACGAGAGCAGCAATAATGATCCTGCGGCGGCCCATGGAGTTATATGAATGTTGGGTGCACCAAAAGTAGTTGCGGATGTACATCTTAGTTTTATACATTTTATACATTTTAAAACTATAGTGCATTAACATCTGTAAATTGCACGAAAGAAATGTTGTCAGGGTGATACGTTCCTAGAATGTAACTCATAAATGTCTGTTGAAAATATAAATGAGGTCGTCTTTGTTTTTGTCCCTATATTTTGCCAAATTTGTTCATGGTAATGCAACAAAATATCAGAACAATCCAGCAAGTACAACAGTTATATATTCCAAGACAAGATTAGAATGAAGAAAAAAAAAATCTTAAACTCTAACCCCATTCTACAAAAATAAGTAAAAACTAGACGGCCTAACAG